ATCCCCAACATGTTTTCATCCAAAGTCGTCACATATCGCCACTTCAGTCAGTGGACTATATGTCTGCATATCATGCGATAGTTATCCTCCTGCGTCTGCTGTTGATGATCTGGGATGCCGCAACCAACTTCAGGACGTCAACAAACACGGTTAGGTTTAGAAAAAAAACATGGTTTGGCTCTGCAGTCATACAGGAAGTGAACACCGGGCTCCTGCGTGAAAGTCCTGGGCTTATTGGAGCTATGCACCACCCCTCCAATCAGCCTTATAGGGACTTTCCAGCGGTGTATCATACCACCGTGACAGGTGCCATTCAGCCACATTAGGAACTGATGCTGCCCATCCACATGTCGTACTGCCACAACAGGTGCCATCTGGCTGTCCTTCTGACTGGCGGTGTATTGTACTACCACGAAAGGTTCTGTCCAGCCGCTTTACAAACTGACGCCAAACGGCAGCTATCACACCACTGTGAAAGATGGCTTTTGACTTGTCTTGTGTCTGACGCCAAGATCTCTGACAAAGCGATGGTTTTTGATGACTTTGGAATGAAAATGGGCCGCACCCCCTGAAACGTAAACCCCCGAAACAGACCTGCAGCTTCTTCTGTGTCATGTGACTTTTGTTTTTACTCTGTAACAGATGTGACTAGAAATTTACTGAAGCAGTGATACCTGCTAATAAAAGTACTTAGTACAAAGTACAAGTCCACAAAAAACCAAACTTTGTTATGGTGGTTTGTTACTTCCACCTCTGTGTGTAAGAGACGTTTGTTAGTAGTAGCTGTGGAACAGTCTCATAATATTTCAGTAAACACTTTGCCCATTGAATGCAACATTTTGATACCTACATTTATTTTGCATCTCTTTCCATTTCAAAACCACCTCACTCTGACTGCATGTTGGTGGAGAGGAGATTAGAAAAGCTCTTCTTGTTCGGTGTGCACTTAAAGGGAAATTTGTAGAAATGACTACAGGGCTAACACTTCATATGAAACAATGTTTGTGTGAAACTGGAGAGTCACTTGATTCAACAGGAAGTGAAGCAGAGCTGCTGCTGTGTGAAGCATCAAGAAAAACACACTGCCCTCAAGTGGCTTTCCACAAAGCGTGCAGCTCCCAGGAGAGCTGTCAGTGTTTGGTCCTGATAATAAAACCACTGAGTCACTGTGAAAATGAGCAGCGCTCACATGACAAGAGAGTCGTTTATTTGTTTGGAGCAGTTACAAGTGAAACTTCTCATCGTTTTGTGCCCATTTTAATACAGAATATGATATGTAATATATTCTGAAATATGCATCAGGAGTATTGTCACACCAAGCTGAGAGTAAATAGATCACAGTAGCACATCAGCGTAAAAATATCAGGAAAGAAAAGAATATATAAAGAAATAAAGACCTGATCAACACAACCCTCTGAAGCTCAGCTGCTGCCTTCACTATCAAAACATCAAAATGTTGAGTTCATGGTCTTCAGGAATTTAGTAAACATGGAAACCTCCATGAAACTGTGGATTTTGTAGGCAACCTAAAATTAGATTTAGAGACTGAACTCTAGAGAAACACAAACCTTGATTATCTTGCAAAGTATTATCTGTAATTTTATCTCTTTTTAATGGAAAAAAAAATGTATTTTCCAATCATTGTCAGTGTTATTATTATTAGCTACATTTTACATCCATAAATGTATATTTTGCTGAAGTAAAACCTCACTTTCAGGTGTACAAAAAAGAAAGTGGAGCTATTTAATAAAACAATAACTTTAAAGCTTTTTTAATTCTGAAACATTTATTTGTTATGTTATAGTACTTTTATCATACTTCTATTGTAGTTTTTCTAATCTATATTTGTGTTTTTGAGTGTTGCAGTAGTAGTGTTGTTTTAATTTGCTCTTATTATGTTTGGTGTATGTTTAATATACACACCGGAAACCAAAGCTAATTCCTTGTAGGTGAAATCCTAGTTCTACTTATTCTCCTTTATCAGTGGTGTTGTTAGGCATGGGCGTCTGAGACTTCAGCTCTGAATGTTTTAGGCTGTATATATATATATATATATATATATATATATATATATATATTTAAAGAAAAAAAGTTTTAAAAATACAGAAAAAGCTCTGGATCTAATTCATTCATGCATTGAAGCCCTAAAAAATAATACAATATTGAGGATCAATACAGTTTTGGGTTCCCTGTGTCATTCGAGCTGCACATTTTGTGTGATCATGTGCAAGAAAGAAAGCTTTGATGTTGCAGCTGGTAAAGATGGAACTCATTTTAAATAATTTATATACTGCATGGTAGTTTAAATACTTATTATTTGATTATATTTTGTTTTGATAATCTAAGTCTTCAAAATAATTAAAGCAGACAAATACATGTAGTGAAGAAAAAAATATATCTCTCTTAGATGTTGAGGAGCAGAAGTGTAAAATAGCATAGAATGGAAATACTCGAGTACAAGTACCTCAAAATTATCTAAATTTCAATGATAGCAGTTGCAAAGTATTTTGTTTCTACTTAATACTAATTAGCCTACTAATAACTACTAATATTTAATTATAATTGTGATTAATCTAATTCATAATACATCTGGAAAATGTTTTTAATGGTGAATAAGATGCCAAGGTGCATAAAAAAAGCATCAAAATAAAGCTTGTTCATAAAAGAAGTTGCCAGGGGAGGAAACCTTTAGACCTCTGTACAGAGGTCCAGGTTAAGCCCCCACACAGAGTCAACCAGAGATAACATTTTCCTGTAGGCCGACACGGAAGTTAGCATTGCTCTGGTTGCCTCATCAAAAATACAAATCAATTGAATTCTTCTGTTGAATTTTGGATTATTGCTGAAAATAACAAACAAACAAAAGTTTCTGATACTTATAGCTTTTGTTCAGCAAGATCATCTTTTGCAGATGAACACCACTTCTATGATAAGATAAGATAAGATAGACTTTATTGTCCCGAAGGAAATTTGTCTTGGATACATGCAATATCTGCTGTTAAAAGACACAAAAAGTTGACACATACAGTTCCTACATATACTCAGTATCTACAGTACATGTACAGACTACCATCAGCTAACAAATTGCACACTGCCCATTGCACACACACACATCTGTTTTACAAACATACATACATATACATACACATATAGTTAAGCTACAGTTAGCTTCCCATTTAAGGCTTTAATGGACAGGGGGACAAAAGAGTTTTAGCCTGCACTGGGGAACTTTAATGCATCTGCCTGAGGGGAGAAGTTGGTACTCATGATGGAGGACATGGGTGGGGTCTGAGATCATTTTCTGCGCCTGTTTGATTATGGTTTGCTCAAAGATAGACTGGAGCGTGGCATGCTGCCTGACTCCCATGATCTTCATGGCTCTCTGGATGAGCCTGGTAATCTGGGCCTTCAGTTGTACACTGAGGTTGCCAAACCAGGCTGATATGCCATACTGCAGGATGCTCTCAACTATGGCATTGTAGAAGAGGAGCAACACTTTCTGTTTACTCCAAAGACCCTCGGCCTGCGAAGGAAGTGTAGGTGCTGTTGAAGCCTAGTGCACACATTATCAACCTGAACACTCAAAGTTAGTTTATGGTCAATATGTATGCCCAGGTATTTATATGATTCAACCCGGGCTATGTTTTGGTCATGGATAACCACTGGTGATTATTGAAGCCTAAATGCTAAAAAGCTACACTACAGCCGGATGACGTAACGTCACATGCAAATCCCTCAGGCTTGTGTTAAACACAGACCTTATTTAAAAGCTCGTAACCAAAAACCCTTTCAAAAATTTTCTTATGACAGAACTGGACTATTGCATTATTTCCACAGCTGTTTATACTTCATTTGCATGTTTATTTACAAAAATAAATAAATAGCATAAATAAGATACCATAATGAATAAAAAACCCCCATCATCAAAATAGAGCTTGTTGATAAAAGAAATTCCTGTGGGAGGAAACCCCCACACCTGTCCTTAAATCCTAGAAACGCCCCTGTCCTTTACCTCTATGTACATTAAACTGTGTGTTTAAACTGGAATATTACTGTTTATTTGAATAATTGTATAGTGAACTAATTTAAAACAATAAAAAAGACCAGACATTTATTTGAAAAACCAATTAGGTTTGAGATGAGGGAACAAGATTATTGCATTCTCTCCATAGTCGTTTGAATTTTATTTGCACTTTGCATTACTTTAATGTACATTAAACTATGTGTGTTAAATAATGAAATATTACCCCTTGCTATTGAAGTGGGGCGGTTCACTGCGGTACCTGAAGACAATAGGATATGTAATGTCTGTGATCTAAAAGAGGTTGAAAATGAATTTCGCTTTATGTTTTATTGTTCACAGTATGAGGACTTAAGGGTTCCCTTGTTTGATGAAATGCAAAAACAAAAAGCTGATTTATTTTGGGCGGATGATGGTCAGAAGTTGGAGTGGTTATTAAAGACTGAGGTTTTTAAGACTGCTAATTTTATTTTCAAAGCCTGGAATAGAAGGCAATCCTTGCTCTTTAAGTCAGATATATCAATGGATTAGATTAGGGTTCACTGTCCTAATCATGAGGACTGTTGTGTTTATGATCTACTATTGTACATCTGTATTATTGTACATCTGTTTTGTATCTTGGTTGTTTCCAAATTGTATGTTTGATCATTGTTTCTGTTTTTGAGATCAAGTGTCTTATAAGCCCATAAGGGCTGGGCTTCTTTGAAGCATGACACTTAAATAAAGAAATCAAATCAAAATATTACTGTTTGCGAGTAATTATATTTTGAATTTATTTAAAATAATAATAAAAAAAATAGACGGACAAAACTTTAAAAGCGTTTGCTATTTCAATCAAGTGTCGACTTTCTAGACCTCACTAAATCCATGCGATAAGTTTTATTATGTACGAGTTTTTAAAGAGCACGTAAACGCATCTTGCACCCGCCCCTTTCCCATTTCCTGGCCTGTGATTGGTCGAGCTGTCCGTCCGTCAGAGCAGAATCTCAGAGGCAGTCAGACTGAAGGGAACAGGTTGAAGGGAGCAGGAGAGGCTCGTTTATTCAAATACGGTTGGTTGCAGATTGTAACCGGATCTAACGCGCAAACTGGTGAGCAGAAATATTATTATTCTTTGTTTTAATACTCGTTATTCTGTTTTCTGCCCGCTACAGTAACGGACTTGATTTCTGATGCATGAAAAATAAATTTTCGCATTCAGGAGCTTTGCCAGGGCGAGATTATTCCTGCGAGCTATCGCGTTAGTACAGTGAGATACCGTTAGCTACCTCAGGATGCTACAGACAAACACGTCATATTAGCTCATTTTAACTTATTGTGTAGCTGCGTTTTATTTAGTAGTTATGTCAGATATAGTTTAATCACACGGTTTGACTCATTAACACATTCAGTCTCGAATAACTCACGAAAAACGGTGAAATCCCGTGTTGTCCTGCTAGCTTAGCACCGTGAAGCTAACGTCGTGACAGTGTTGATTGTTGGGATGAAGGATTTCAAGCCTCACGTTAAGATTACGAGTTAGCTCAGCAAACGGCACTAAAACTTAAAATTGAAACGCAAAGATGAACATTTAATATAATATAATTTAATATAGAAACCTCCCCTCCCTGTTGGTGTGGCTCGCACATATTCTGGTTGCACATGGTTACATATGGCATCTGTGTGCAGCCTTTTGTTTGCTTTGTGTTATTGTTCCATTAAATAAAAACCCTGAAGTGTTCAAGCTGAGGCACTAAAAGCCTTTTCCTCCACACTACAGACTTTATATGTCCCCAAACACACAGACAGGCTTATAACAGTAAAACAAACCGTATATTAACATCAAAAGTAGCTTAAAATTAAAGAACACAGTCAAAACTTAAACAGCACTAAAATAAGTAATAAATTTAAGAATTGGTGAAGAGAAGTAGCTTGTATAAAGTTAAGTTTAGAAAAGAAAGATAGAACAATGTAAAGTGGACTGTTGAAGGTGGAAGGATGCAGCAATTGGTATTCACAGTGACAGGTTTAGGGGATTTAGTGGCTTCTGGCAGCGAGGATTACAGATTGCAACCAGCTGAAACTTCTCCCAGTTTAAATTCCTTCACTGTTTACTGGGAGCCGAATTATCCACAAAGGTCTCCTCCTCTCCAAAACAAATAAACCAGGTGATTTGAACTGGTAAAACCACTGAGTAAACCCGTCTTACGTTACAAATGAGTGTTTCTCAGACACTGTTTGGCATGTCGTAGGCAGGCAACAAGCTCAGCACCTGCTAATGTGTGCTCTAGGGATAGACCGATATGGATTTTTTTAGGGCCGATGCCAATACCGATTTTTTTCCATCACCCTTAGCCGATGACTGATTATGGACTGCCGATTTTCTTGAGCCGATATTTGGGGCCGATACTGCTTTTGCTCCCTCAATTTACATAAAAAAAAATGACACAATGATAACAAATATTACAGGTCTCAAGTTTAAAATAAGAAACATTTATTGAACAGTAAAAAATACTAAAACAAGATGGAAAGTTGAGGTAGAACAGGTAGAATATTATTATTATTATTATTATTATTATTATTATTAGACATTCAAATAAAAAAAAAAAGAATTCAGTGCTTGTAAATCTTCCAGTAATGTCTTTATAAAATAAACAAATATTTAAGCTGAAGCATAAATAAAACAACAACTACTGTACACAGTAGGATTCGCTGCATGTGCGCTGCAGGGTCTTCCAGAAACATAGAGCTGCCCGTGGATGCCTGTCTGTAAATCATGCCAGGGAAAAATAAATCCACGAACCCACGCGCGTATCGGCCGATGCCGATACAAGTAAAAAACTCAAATATCGGCCTGATATATCGGCCGGCCGATGTATCGGTCTATCCTTAGTGTGCTCACCTTATTTCTGATCCAGATGTTCAGGAGACTTTTACCAGGAACTAAATTATCCACAGAGGTCTCTTGCTCTCCAAAACAAAGGTGATTAAAACCAGCACTGAATGAAGCAGTTTCACGATACAAATCGGTGTTTCTCCAACACTGTTTGGGACATATCCCTGCACCTGCTATTGTGTGCTCACCTATTTATTTTCTCTGATAACTTATTGTGCGCTCACCTTATATCTGGTCCAGGTGTTCAGGATGTTTTTACCGGGAGCTGAATTAACAGAGGTCTCTTCCTCTCCAAAACAAAACAGGCCAGGTGATTTTAAACTGGTAATAACACTGAATATAGCAGTTGCACATTAAATAAAAAAAAGGGGGTGCCCTCTAGCTCATCTAGTAGAGCAGGTGCCCCCTGTACAAAGGCTGTGTCCTTGCCACAGTGGCTGCAGGTTTGATTCCAATCAAGTTTAGAAATTAGCACCAGCTGCCAGCCAAATGATGGTTTTCTAGACAGTGTTTTTCCGACTCGTCACAAAGGAGCTGCAGTCTACGGTGGCCAATGCGAAAACGTGAATGTACCCATCTTGAGGCAGTGTTTGGTTTGTCCGTTCTGGGCTACTGTAGAAACATGGTGGTGCAACATGGCGATCTCTGTGGAAGAGGACCCGCTCCCTATGTAGATATGAACAGCTCATTGTGTCACAGCTACAGAGCTGCCTCAGCCTAGAAATCATATTCCAGACGTAAGGGAGCATGCTTGTTTTGAACAGACCACATCATCATCATCATTTCACTTTTTTTTCAGTAAAATATGAAATGCAATAATGACCATGCCTTCTAAAATCACAACTCATATCACAGTATCTGTCAATATAAACGCAGTATGACTTTTGTGGCACATCTCGCAGCCCTAGAAACAACTAACTGATCAGAATTGACAGATTAATCAGCTGATTACATTTGTTAGTTGCAGACCTATAGAGAAATATAACATTCCCCTGACTATTGATTTAAAATTTATGCTTGATTGACAGTGAAGAGATGCAGCTGAAACAGTGTGTTGCAAGACACGTCTGTCATTCAGTCTAAAAGGAGAAGTCCTCCTTGCAGTTTGCAGGAAGTAAATAAAAAACTGAGTTGCATTCTGAGACACGTTGCCGCCATTTGTGCTAATTTGTAACTTCAGCACAAGATTTGTGCCGAGGGCTTCTTATGGCTAAACATCAGTCTGAATGCAGCTGCCTTCCACCCACACACAGGCACACAGGTGTAGCTACTGTCAGTCAGGGTTGGTTGGCTGCAGTATTTTTATACCCGTCAGCTGTCGTGGTTGTGTGCCACGAGGAAACAGAGTTATTTAAGTATTAATCCTGCTTTTATCTGACGAAGCTGCTTTATGAAAAAGAGATTGTGTTGCGTGGCTCTCTGTAAGTCCTCAGGGACAAAGTGAAACATGTTTCCTGTTCCTCCTCCTCTTGAGTTTACGAGAGTTGACGCATTGATATTAAGGGAAGTAATCGCCCCCCGCCTCCTCTCTGCAGGAAGGGCTCAGCGCAGCGTGGGTGCCCAGGGATCCACTGCCTGAGTGTGGGGAGAGCAGCGGCCGAGACCCCAGAGACATGAACCACACCAAGGGAGGCCTGGTCATCTTCACCGCCAACTCACACCCCGCCAGCCGCGAGCTGGGCAAGAGGATTTCAGAGTGAGTACGGGCGGCCCGGGTGACATATGACACACAGAGACAAACTTTGCAGGTGAAAGTGGTTATTTTAGAGTACATAACTCATGTGGGTCCTTCAGGAACAGGTTTGTCACCTTCCTTCTCTCAGTGAAACAGCCTCTGCAGGAGTGTGTTGTTGTTTGTTTGAGACGTGCTCTTCAACTTTGGTTGTGCCATGTTTTCTGTCTGAATCGCTGGGTCTGCCTCTGTCAACACATGTTCAGTGTTTACAATATGGCCGACTAGAGCCAGCACTCAAAACTGCAGCTAAGCAAAATATAGGCACTTTGGAATATAATTTAAAGTGATAATGCTCCAGATTTAGCTAATGCTAATATTTCTTTGTTTTACCTTTTATCCAAAAATGAACACAATATACTAAATTAGTTCTTCATATCTGACTATGGCAGCCTAGATCTGCTAAGAAAGGGGAATTTTGACTTTCTTTTCATAGTTTGCGAGATATCTGCAAAGTGCAATAAATGATCTTGTTGACTGACAATAAAACCAGATATTTTTATCCTTGAGGCGAAATTATTTTTAAAAAATCACTGCAAGTTGTATGTTTAAAAGGTGCGGACACACCAAACCGACATCAAAGAACTAGCGGCAACGAAAGCCAACTGTTGAGTAGTCTACGTCGCCTCACGTCGCCCTGTGTCAGTTGCATTTGAACACACTACACGGACTACATCCGACGGCCAAGTAGCACGTACGTTCTGCGCCTGCGTGAGAGAGAGCGGAGTGAGAGAGTGGTACATCCTGTCAGCAGAGGGGTTTCCTATCTGTGCAGCCGAGCACTGCAGCACCTCCACGGACTATTACATCCAGACGGTCCCGGTGTTTCCTCCACAGGCTCCACTTCACTCAGCTGCCCGATAAACCCGCTGCTTCTTCCCACTTTAACCTGAATAACAAACCAGGGCTCAGTGATCAGGTTGGATCCAAACGGAGAGCCGGGGCTAGCTCAGAGACTAGCGGAGGCTAACTGGCTGTGCTTCCCTCCGGTCATGCTACGGCTAACGCTCCGCTAGCCGATCCCAGCTAGCTCCGGCTCTCCGTTTGGATCCAAACGGAGAGCCGGGGCTAGCTGGGAAGCTAGCGGTGGCTACAGGGGCGAGGAAATAAAACCTGAACAGCCAATGAGAGTGATCTCTCTCACCGATAAGCTCCGCCGCCGATTCAACATGCTCAATCGGCCGAAAAGCCGCTGACGCTGAAGTGCCGACGGCTCGGTCGGGTTGGTGTGTCAGAGCCTTAAGAGATGTCGTGGTCATTATGACTTCTGCTCTTCGTGCATCTGAAACATTCTGTGCATCCCAGTACCCATATTACCATACTGTTATGTATGCTAGAAAAATATTTAGCATGTCGTAATTAGTGCTGTCAAAATAATGCGTTAATTTTGATTAATTAATCACAGAAAAAAATCATCTGTTAAAAAAATAAATGCTGATTAATTGCTGCATTTTCCGTGGTGCCCTTTGACCCGGTGCATCACTGAAGGCCACAGTGACGAGACGACACTGCTCGGCCCCGTGACTGATTTACATTTAAAGAACGCCCAGATGGAGCTGTTGGTAGGAGCAGCGTTTTCTGCAGGTTGTGCAGGAAGGAATTTTCATACCATCGGAGAACTCCTAGCACTAGCAGCCAGCTGCGTCAAGCCAAACTCCAGCAGGCGTTCAGACTGAGTCAGTCTACCTGTGACCGACTCACTAACTCCCTTACAGAATGGACTGCAGACTAGTTTGGGTGTTACAGGACAGCGGGACAACTGTGTCCAAAATCCAGCAGCTTTACAACGACACATCTGACAACAATTATTTGGGTTTCCTGGCATCTGCTGAACGCTCACATTTAACCCTGCAGATGACTGACTCCCCCGTCAGAAGATGACTTAAAGACCAAAGTTAAAGAACAAAGAATAAAAAGTAGAAACATAAATAAATACAAAATAAAGGAGTTAACTAATAGTAATGATAAAAATAAATAAATAATACCATAACAAAATAGCTTAATATTACATGCTTGTCACTTAGTACTCCACGCACTACTTAAAAATAGCGTAATTAAAAAAAAATAAAAAATCAAGCTAGCGGAATATTATTAGATTAATATTAGGTGATTTACAAAATGACATCTCTTATAAAAGTTATCAGACGAACCTCTTAAAGTGTATATTTGTTTTCTAACTGTAAAAAAATACATCAAACCCTGGAGCCAAGAAGAGACGGAGGATTTAAACTCCTCAAAAGGAGAAGAGAAACACCTCTGAGCTATAACTTCTGTAAATTTGACTCTGAGGTGAAAAAATATTTACACCATAGAGCTGTGAGATATTGTCTTTAACAGTCACACAGCCTGCACGTTTAAATAAAAGTCCCTCCAGCTAACAGAGTACGAATTCAATGGAAACTCACGACCTAACTGATCATCTGTGGCCTCCTTAAAATAAGTAGTCACATGATGAGATGCATCAACACATTTCATTGTGTCGTGTGTAAACAAAATATTCATGAACTCAAACTGTACTTGAAATGCACACCAGTGCTCCTGCTCGCCACAAGGACATGGAGTCAGTGTTTAGAGAACAAACAGAGGAGTCGGTCGGACTCGTCAGACACTTCACACTCTGTGTGTGTGTGAGATGAAATCAAACAGCACATTAACAGTTAACAGGGAGAACTGCACAGTGAGGTCAGCTCGTCTCATGAGGTGTAACATAACAACATATAAATGTCTATACTTAGGCCTCCGTCAGACAGAGGGAGGTCTGCAGGCTGAGGCGTCTTTGTTGTTTTAATGTTGCTAAGCAGCCACTGAATCACCTGCCCTTAGTTTAACCCTTTGAACTCTGCAATAGAGAGAGTCTGCTGCTGCCCACAGTAGTGTTTTTGCTGAGTGTGATGTCATTTCTTGAGTACGGGCCTGTGTCCACATCAAGTCTTTCATCAGCAGAAAAGTGGTGGCGGGGCGCTGGGGAGTGCTCCATCCCAGGGCTTCCTAAAATCCGACACTAGAAATTCGCTAAGTAGCTAACAAGATGCTACATTAACAGAGCGTTGGCGACACCGCCACAAACAAGCTTACAAAGCGAACGGTGATAAAAGCACAGCACTAACCAGTGGGGCTGAGTATCGCCACTGATTTCCTGAATCAATTCGACTTTGATTCACAGGTCACGATTCTATTTGATATCCATTTTAGATTCAATGTGGGATATTTCAGTTACAGTACCAATTTTTGCTAGTATATGGATTAAAACTGAATATTTAGTTAAGTTTAAAAAAGAATAAAGAACACAGACATCAATTAACTCCTTTACTATCGGCGAGATTAACCGGGTTAAAGCGTCACACATCCATGGGAAAAAGTGTATATTAAAAGATAGATCTCGGACTTTACGAATCGATACCGGGTCATTCAAATAAAGATTGTTTTGGATCAGATGAATCGATTATTTTAGCCCTACTCACTAGGAACAACTAGGATCCGCTGGTCGATCTGCTCCCGAAAAATTAGGTTTTCAATACTGGTGCCTTTCTGAAAAGTTCAGAGGTTTTCAACTTAAAGTGCTCAGAGCGGCTGCACAAAACAAGCAGAGCGCTCTGAGAAAAGACGCTGAGTGTGGCGCTTGATCTGATTTGACAATGGGAAAAAAAACACCAATGACATCAGCATTTTTCAGCTCTCAGTTTAAGTTTGTCCTGCTGAAGGTGTTAAGGGTACTCCTGCAAAACCCGTGAGACACGTGGAACGGAAAAATGCTAAGTACCACAACACGCTGTGTGATTATGTGTATTTCTTTCTTTATTTTCTTAAATACATGTTATCTTGTTATTGAGGAAATAACCTGTTGCTTTTTCTTAGCGCTCCGTTTCTGCACAAATGTAAACATACAAACATCATCTGAGTTTGCAAAGCTAAGTTGAACTCCCTCTGTCTCTCTTTGTCTCTCTCTCAGGCGGTTAGGGGTGGAGCTTGGCAAGGTGCAGGTGTACCAGGAAGCTAACAGAGGTAAGATGGCGTGTGATGGGGAAAGACTCCCTGTGCATGTGTAGATATTTACCTACAGCTGCCCCCTGATAGTCGACCATACGTTAGTCAACCAGAAAGATCATTAGTCTGCAAGATTTAGTTGGTCGCTTCGTCGCAGAGACCTGTGAATGACAGGCTGTGAGACTGATGTTGGTGGAGAACAGCACACAGATAAATGATTGCAGTGCTGTCTTACTGTGTGTCAGCAGGTTAACTGTTAAACTGTGTGAAAGTGTGTTTATGTAATTGGAGCAGAGGCTGTGTGTGTAAAGCAGCAAGTTCTTTGAATTTGAGTTACATAACACAACATATAATATTATCTGCTGCTCTAACACTGCAGCTTTTACCAGACTGACTGCAGATGAAGGCCCTGATCACACAGAAAGAGTTTTGTAGGTTGCAAAAGGCAAGATGCACCAAGCGGTCTTTTTTTCCATTTTTAATTGAATGCCACTAGTAAAAAAACATTTGCTGCGTCATATTTATTGTTTTGAAGCAACCACCCCGTCACCTCCTTACACTAACCTTCCCATATGTTTATTTCATAGTGTGTAGCTGCTGCCATGTTGAGGCAGAGGGTACTGTCTGTAGCTCTGGTTGAGGGTGAGAGGCTGTCAGCAGATAAACAGAGATCTGTGTGGGTACATGAGACCCTAAAAAAGAGGCTGGATCATGGGGAGTACCACCAGTTGGTCCAGGAGCTTCTCCTCCATAATGGAAGTTTACAGGCAAATTTTAGGAAGACTCAGGGGCAGTTTGACAACCTGCTGTCTATCATCAGGCCGTATAGCTCTGGGTATCCAGCAACAGCTACCACCAGTTTCTCCTCCATTGTTTACCAACTGTAGACTTGTTGTCGTGACAACCACAGAAGCCCCGCCTCTCAAATCATCCCATTGGACAGTGGGGGAAAAGTGGTGATGACGTGGGGCGCTTTTCTGCTCTAAGTTGAAGTTTTTTGTTTTTTTTTCAACTCGAGGAGTTCAGAGCGCTCTGGCGAAAATGCCAGGTGAGGCTCGTAGCAACGCAGAAACAGCGAGCAAAAAGCTTCATTCTCATTTAAAACTATTCCAAAAAGCTGCTTCCAGCTGCTGAAACACTTTCTGTGTGATCAGGGCCTGACTGGTTTAATGTTTGTACAGAGTCGTTGTATTCCTCTGTGTAGTTTGGACCTATTTATGAACCTATTTATGAACCTCATTCTGTGGTTGCTTGTCAAAGAACAGCAGAGGTCGTGTGAACACTCATCAGCATCATCAAACTAGCCGTTTCACTCCAGACTACTTAACAGAGTATTACACAATCTTACTTCTTCTGTATGTTTGTTATGTAAATCAGGTGAGACTTAAGACAAAGTCCAAATGTTTTATGGCTCATTATGTAATTTTTTCTCCACACAAAAGCAAATAATTGATTTCAGCAGCCGGCTGGGGGGTTTGTCATTTCCAGAAAAAAATAACAAACTGTGTGTTTACTATTTAAAATTTACAAACTTAAGAAACAGCAAGTACTTGCTTTTTCTTAAGTGGTTACATCTCCAGTCTGACCTCAGGCTCACAGCTGACAGGTACCTGGTTTGTGTATATGCCGTAACACAAGTGAAGAGAATGAGTAATGGATTTGCCGTGAAAAAACAGCATTTGATGCGATGCGATAGTTGGACAATTGCTTGTGGTCAGGACACTTTTTAAAAAAAAAAAAAAAAAGAAAAACCACCGGATAATTTCAGCACATAAGATAATTTCAGCACATAATTAGTATTAGGATGTGTTCACACCGGGCGCGAATAAAACAATGTGCGTACATGTAAAGTCATGTAAAGACGCTATTAGATACAAATTCCCACCAGGCGGTGCGATGGACACGACACAAGTAGCTCAATGTCCCATCATATGCTTATTGAGAGTTGTGTAGAATTGAAAAATCTGATCTTCAGCGACACATTTGCGCCGCAATAGCCAATCAGCATTGAGATCCTCCTGGGACGTATGGTGCTGAGGACGTCAGCATAAGTTCATTTATCAGAAAAATGGAGGAGAAGCTGATAGTGTCAGTCTGTGGCTACCCTGAGCTTTATGACCCCACGTCCTTCTTTTATAGAAACAAGAATATAAAAGGAGCTCAGACTGAAAGATTTGATTTCACGTGTGTATGACACAAGTTAAAGCCTTTGCTCACTGATTCTGATGCGTTTTGTGGTTTTATTCGGTGCAAAATTAGCAACACATGACAAAATGAAAATGAACATTTCCTACTTTGCCTCTCTCCACTGGAGTTACCTATCTGACTGTCATCACCCCCTTCCTGTCTTTCATTTGGCACCACAGCTGCATGAAGAGGCAGAGCTGTCCTCTACGTCCTGTGTGCGGTCCACATCCTCCTCCTCTTCATCATCATCCACCTGAATATCACTATCTGACCTGTTGGACGTAGCTGTCTGAGTTATGAAATGATTCTGTGCGCCCTGTTCCTCACAGCTGCCACATCTCCTTCACTGATTCTTGGTCAAACGTGTCGAAAGGCTCTGATGGATGTGAAAAACCTGTTACTAAAATTTAACGATGAAAGTTTCAGGTTCAGTGTGCAAACGTGATCGACACAACGTGAGGTTGTATTTACTTTTAGACGTACGACAATTTCAGATGAGAAAAACAGTGTGCAAAGGCCTCCAGTCGTGTGTGTAAAGCGAGCCAATGCAAATTATTCTAGTCTTAAACTTGCACGAGTAACACAGCTCCAACACTGCTCCAACAGCCCTAGGTGGTCAGTATGAAGTGTTTGCCAGCAGATCCTCAGGAACACTTTCCAAACAGTCTCTGCCTGCACCTGCTGCTTTATCACACAGTGCTGCTGCTGCAAGTAAGGCAAAACAAAGAGCAAATATTTAGCGTGGTAGATTACATGTCTGAAGCTATTTTCACGTACAGCAAGATGGCTTGGTGAGAAATTTAAATGGGTCTGAAGGTAGAAAGTCTGTCTGTTTGGATCATAGTCAGAATGTCCTGTACAATATTCACCGGCCTGTGTCAGCATTACACTGAAACACTGAAGCAGCAGTCAAGGTCGTCAGATGAATTTTCCACATCATGAATATTCAGTTTCTTGCTCCCAAACTGCTGCTTGCATCAACTCTCAGCTGTGGCTCAGTTTCCTCTGTTTCTGCCGGACGCTCGGCTGCCGAGGAAGCATTTTGTTTTCTAATCTCTATTCCGAGGGAAGCACATTTTTGGAATGCTAGTATCTACAATTTCACACAGTGGAGCGGAGAGGGAGGGAGGGAGGGGTGTGTGTGTGTGTGTGTGTGTGTGTGTGTGTGCGGCACAGAGGGCTCAGATAGCCCTCTAATGAAGCTGACAGGCCCTGCAGGCTTTGTTATGATGTAGGAGTGGTGTGTGCGTGTGCGTCTGATTGTGTGTTTATGTGCGCGTGCTTTCTTGCTGCTTCCTCTCTTCTCACGTCCTCTTTGTTTCCATAGAAACACGGGTACAGATCCAGGAGTCGGTGCGAGGCAAAGATGTCTTTGTGATCCAGACAGTGTCCAAGTAAGAACGACAACACACACAATTGAACATCTCGACACAGTTTGTCCCCTGAAACATCTCACTCACATCACGCTCTCCTCCTCCTCCTCCTTCTCTTTCTCGCCGTCCCTCGGCTGCGTCAGGGATGTGAACACCACCATAATGGAGATGCTGATCCTGGTGTACGCGTGCAGGACGTCCTGTGCCAGAAGCATCACGGGTGTCCTCCCTTACTTCCCCTACAGCAAGCAGTGTAAGATGAGGAAGAGAGGCTCCATCGTCTCCAAGCTGATCGCCTCCATGATGTGTAAAGCTGGTGAGAGACAGAGACACAAAACATATGACATGACCTAAAAGTATTATTGCAATGTGTTAAGTCTGTGATACACAAAATACATCTCAATATTTTGAAATCTCCTCTAAAAATACTACTTAAATACTAAACCACTAAAGTACTGCTACAATTAAGTTAAATAAGGAACTGTTAAAAAGTTGAATATAATACTGTTATAATAAATTTAAATAAAGCAAAGTTAAATACATTTTTTAAAAAGTACTGTAAAAGTTTAATAAAGCACTCTTGTAATAAAGTTGAATAAAATACTGTTTTAATAAATTTCAATAAAATACTTTTAATTAAAACATTTTATTATAATTTAAAATTTAAATAAAATACTGGTAAATAAAGTTAAATAAAATACAGTTATAACAAATTTACATAAAGGACTGTTTTATGAAAAAGTTAGATAAATACTTTTATAATAAATTTAAATAAAATACTTTTATAATAAATTTAATAAAGAATAATAAAATAATGTTTTAATTTAAAATTTAAATAAAATACTGGTAAATAAAGTTAAATAAAATACAGTTATAACAAATTTATAAAAAATTTAAGTACTGAAAAAGTTAGATAAATACTGTTAAAATCAATTTTAATAAGTATTGTGACAGTTGAGTTAAATAAAGTCCAGTTAAATAGTTTTTTAAAAACTACTGTTTAAGTTTAAATAATAATAATAATTTAATAATAAATTAAATTGTTTAATTATTTACTTAATTGAATGATAAGTAGATTATTTAACTATTTTTATTTAATTAGATAATAATTTAAATAATACATTTACACTAAGTACTTTTATAATATCGAATAAAATACTGTTATTTAAATAAAGTACTGTTAAAATAAAGTTTTTAAAACCTATTGTTACAATAAGGTACTGTAATATTAAAGTAAGATAAATAATAAAGTTAAAGTACTGTTCTAATAAAGTTAAATAAAATATTGACATAATGAATTAAATCAGAACCAGTGGTGCTTTTATTCTGAAGCACTTGGCTCGTCTCAGCAGGAAGTGTTGATATATTCGTTGGGAACTTGAAGCCTCCGGCCACCAGTTAGCTGTTAGCTGTTAGCTGTTAGCAGTTAGCGGCAAGTTTAACTGTCACAGCGGTGCTGTTAAACATGAGGATTTATTCACTGTGAGCTGGAAACAAATTAACAGCTCTCCACTTCATATATTAATAATGTTTGTAAGTCACACTGGTGCTCCATGGTCACAAAATGATCAGGGTCTGGAGCCCTGCTGAAACTAAAAATATGCTCCTCGCTTGCTCACACACTGGCGAAAAAACAATGACGTGACAATTTATACTTGGTGTTCACAGTACAGTGATTTATACATCCATGTGGAACAAGCTGTGATACATCGAGTGTTACCGATACATCATCCACTGCTATTTGCGGCATCACAAATAAAACATTTTATTTAGAGAATGTTTAACATTTATATGAAGTGAGACAAGGCTAATCTAAAAGTGTGTGTGTGTGTGTGTGTTTCTACTGCGAGCACTAACACCAGCACACTGACTGTGTCCCTGCAGGTCTCACCCACCTGATCACCATGGACCTCCATCAGAAAGAGATTCAAGGCTTCTTCAACATCCCAGTGGACAATCTGAGAGCCTCGCCCTTCCTGCTGCAGTACATACAGGAAGAGGTAGAAACACATGCCACACACACACACACACACACACACACACACACACACAGAACATGAATTTCATATTAAAGGACAGCTAAATTAGTTTTCTTACCTTTTTAAAGGGGATCTATGTAGAATTCAGAGCATGTATGAATTGTCTGGATACAGATCTTAACATCAGCAAACAGTGCTAAACAATGGCAACAGTGCTGACAGAGCTAGCTAAGGGCTAATTTATGCTCAACGTTAGAGACAGATGGAGCCGTCTGTCCGTACTCGGCGTTCATTTCATCCTTTTTGGTGCACAGATTTTGAAATCTTACAGATATGGACAAAATGGAGCGGTACCACTGGGAGATCATGGAGGCAGTGTAGCATAGTTCAAGTGAGAGATGACTGTAGGTGACAACAACAAAATTTAAATAATAGTGGAACAGAACAAGGTGAAACTGGTGGTTTCTCCTCCATTACAGCCTGATGATAGACAGCAGGTTGTCAAACTGCCCCTGAGTCGTCCTAAAATCAGCCTGTAAACGTCCATGATGGAGGAGAAGCTCCTGGACCAACTGGTGGTACTCCCCATGATCCAGCCTCTTTTTTAGGGTCTCATGTACCCACACAGATCTCTGTTTATCTGCTGACAGCCTCTCACCCTCAACCAGAGCTACAGACAGTAGCCTCTGCCTCAACATGGCAGCAGCTACACACTGATTACTGTGAGGATAGATAAAATGAATGAACTGTAGATTGATTACACAGAAAGGTTAGTGTAAAGGGGTGATGGGGTGGTTGCCTGGCAACAATGACAAGATGCAACAAGCGTTTTTTTGCTTGTAGCGTTCAACTACTACATAAATAGGCAGTGTGGTGCGCCTTGTGTTTTGCAACCTGCACAACACTCTGTGTGATCGGGGCCTTAGTCAGAATCCGCACCAGCTGATGACCCACGTAAAAGACAGAAAATAATCTGTTTGCAAATCTGACATTTAATTTGTGTCTTTATCTTTAATGTACCTGCAGATCCCTGACTATAGAAATGCTGTGATTGTGGCCAAATCTCCAGCCTCTGCCAAAAGGTACAGTCACCTCTCCTCACTCGCTGAAATCAGCTGTTTTGTCCGTCTCACCGCCCTCTCCTTCTCCGGGGAAGTTAAGGTTCAACTTTACATCTGTAGCAGCACTGCTGTCTTTTTTTAATCTACCACTGTGTGGCGCCAAATGAGAACTGTTCATATGTTTACACAGTGATGATATGTTCTGTATATTTATTGTGTTTGTACTTGCTGTGATGAAGGAGCACAGTCAGTCATTACCTGAGTGTTCCTCTCTGTCTGTGTGCTCCTGCAGGGCTCAGTCGTTCGCCGAGCGGCTGCGTCTGGGTATCGCAGTGATCCACGGTGAAGCTCAGGATGCAGAGTCGGACCAGGTCGACGGGCGACACTCCCCACCCACCGTCAAGACCACCGGAGCCATCCACCCCAGCATGGAGATACCATGTAAGGCACACAGCAACGATAAATCCTGTGAACACAATCTAACAGAATACAGTAATTATGACTGTTTCCTGTGTGTCCTTTTGTTTCCAGTGTTGATCCCTAAAGAGAAGCCTCCCATCACTGTGGTTGGAGATGTAGGAGGACGCATCGCCATCATAGTGGTGAGACGACACTTTATTGTAGCTTTTAACTGAGGCTGGGCAGCATGGAGAAAATCAGATATCACCATGTCTAAACAGTGGTGGCGTGGTGTCACTAGAGGGAGCTGTGTTACCATTCACAGACTGAATGCTGAGAGTTGATCAGCTTGTTTGAGACAGGTCTGTTTGTCCCACAGGATGACATCATCGATGACGTCGACAGTTTTGTGGCAGCAGCGGAGACGCTAAAGGAAAGAGGGGCCTACAAGATCTATGTCATGGCAACGCATGGCATCCTCTCCTCGGACGCCCCCAGGTTCATCGAAGAGTCGGCCATTGACGAGGTGAGTGGGCTCTGAGGTTTTCTGGTGTGTAGTCACTTTGCTCTGCGTGACCTCACACGTCTCTCGTGTCTGGCGTTCGTCCTCCAGGTGGTGGTGACCAACACGATTCCCCACGAGCTCCAGAAGCTCCAGTGTCCCAAGATCAAGACGGTTGACATCAGCATGATCCTGTCAGAGGCCATCCGCCGCATCCACAACGGAGAGTCCATGTCCTACCTGTTCCGCAACATCGGAGTGGACGATTGAACGACCTGACACACACACACACTCTCACACACACTCTCACACACTCTCACACACTCATACCATTTGCCTTTTCAGGTGAATGTCAGACACTGCGCACACAGATATATCCATTTCCTGCGTGTATCATAACATACAAATATAACAGCTAACTCTTTCCTTTGCTTAAAGGGACAGTTCGGACTTTCTGAAGTGGCGTTGTATGAAGCTCTTATCAATAGTCAGTGTATTACCTACAGTAGATGTCAGTCGTCACGCCTCCAGTTTGGAGAAGCAGGCAGGAGCACTGACATGGAAGCTTCGAAATGTGCTGCTGTGCAACCAGACTCTAGAGAAAAATAGTAATTTTACCTCACAGATCACAGGAGCTGCTGGTCTACCACTGCCTCCATCAGTTCGATAGTGTTTTAGGTCTGCAACTAAAAAACATTATCGATTAATCTACAGTCTATTGAAAAAAAAGAAAAAGAAATCTGGTCCGTACAATTTCTAAAAGCCCAAACTGACGCCTTCAGTTTGCTTCCTTTGTTCAACCTGCAGTCCAAAACCTAAACACTCTTCATTAACTTTTAAATTCAGTAGAACTTAATTGACCTCGAACGAACGTGAGCTGTCATTGACGTCTAAGAAAAGCAGCAAACTCTCACATCTGAGAAGCTGGAACCAGCAAGTTTTGCTTGAAAAATTACCGAAACGATTATTTAGTTGCCAAAATAGTTCGCAATTGATTTTCTTTCAATGTGGATTTGGTGTTTTAAGTGTGACTTCAGTGAATCCAAACAAGCTAACTGACCGAGGCAGTGGTAGACCAGCAGCTCCTGTGTTCTGAGAGGTAAAATCACTGTTTTTGTCAATGGAGTCTGGCTTTGAAGAGAGCAGGGATAACAGCCTTAGTTCCCCGTCAATAATTGCTGTGTGATGGGAAGATAAAGCGGTGGAAATATTCTAAACATAGCGTACACTTAAACTGAGGTGAGGTGGCTGAAACACATTTTGTGGCTGTCACTCAATAACACATGCTAACCGATTGAGGCAGAGTTAGACCAACAGCTCCTGTGTTCAACATGCTTAAATGAGTGTTTTTCTAAATGGAGTCTGGTGGCTTTGACGAGAGCATCAATGGGAAACTGCAGCTGTTAACTGCTTTAGTGTTGGAAAGGGCTGTTTGATGCCAAGTTAAGCAGTGAAAATATCCTCAATAGATATTTTTAGGTGGCTAAAGTAACATTTTTCTGCTGCAGTTTGCTTCTCCAAACTGGGGGCGCACTGACTGACATCTACTGTAGGTAACACACTGACTATGGCCTCACACAGCCCCACTTCCAAGATCCAAACTATCTCTTTACCATAGAAGATGACTGAATACACACACACACACACACACACACACACACACACACACACACACACACACACATATATACGACTGAACACACTGATCTGTGTCCTTCACGGACATGAATAGACTACTGCCTGTTTCTCTGAAAGCTGCCCTCTCATCAGACACCTCAGTTTTTCTACTCCTCTCTTTCTGAGTACCTTCGTTAGTCACCTCTCCATCTTGTCACATTTCTTTCCACAGAAACCATCGATGTTGCGTCTGCGATCGTTAGAACATACGGTAGCATCGAATGTCTCTCGCGGTACGTTTAGTTTCAGAAAGAGTGCCAGTGCCTTCTGCAGGACACAACACACAGGCCTTCACCGCTCCGATACTCGACTGTGTCTCAGCTAACACGACTAACTCATAACGGCCCCTGCAATTAACCCAGGATGATGCAGGTTCCTGACTAATTAACTTAGAATCAGAGCGCATGTTTAACCCTCTGTCTGAGTTATGTTATTTTACGTGTTGGCTGAATGTGTTACTAACATAGTTTAGAGTCCAACCAGCTCGCTGTGTGTGTGTGTGTGTGTGTGTGTGTGTGTGTGTGTGTGTGTGTGTGTGTGTGTGTGTGTGTGTGTGTGTGTGTGTGTGTGTGTGTGTGTGGTCGCTGTAGCACTTAGATGCTGCTCTGGTGTCAAATCTACTCATTGCTAAAACACAACTGGAATTAACAGAAAACATTTCTCAGTCTGGTTAATTGGACGTAACAAACATTTTGTTAAGTTTGCATTCATGACTCATCCATGTTACATAGCGTGCCATCATTTCAGTGCTCATATATTTTTATGTTTGTTCATGCCACAGACGATCCAGACTTTTGTTTTGATACAAGTTCTGCAGTTTGACTCTATATAATCACATGTACAAATGGGTAAATGATCGTTATGACGAGACTGATGAGGTTTGATTAAAACACACACGTTACCTGATGTTTCACAGATTGAGGTTTCAAACTGCAGCAAAAGATGAAAAAGTAAAATTGAAACTTTTTCTGACGAGCAAAACTTGACTGAAGCAGGTCTTTGTCACTTTACCAGATGTGTTCCAAAAATGTTTTGTATTTATTTTCAGCACTTAATATGAATAAATATGACCTATGAAAGTAAAGATGCCTCGTTCTGTTATTTTATAACTGGGTGTACTTTTTCTTACGATTATGCTAACACATGCTAATCTTTAAAGGAATACTTCACCTACAAAACAACCATTTGTAAATCAGTCAGTCGTGTTTTGTTACCTCCAACATAAGGAGAAAACTTTATTTTTGTTGCATGCTTCCACGGAAAATTGCGAACAAATTGATTTATTGATTGGGGACCATGTTTAACAGCAGCAAAATGATATCAAAACAATCTGTTTTAGGGCTGTGAAAATACCGCGTTTATTTTGATCAATTAATCACAGAAAAAGTTATGTTAAAAAAAATTTAACGCTGATTAGTGGCGTTCCGTGGTGCCGTTATTGAAGGCCACAGTGTCTTTGTCACAAGATGGAGGCAGACGAGACGACGCTGCTCGGCCCCGTGAATGGAACATATGCATTTAAAAAACAGCCAGATGGAGCTGTTGATAGGAGCAGTTCTCTGCAGGAGGGAATTTTCGTACCATCGGAGAACTTCAAGCCTGAAATATCACCTCAACACAAAGCATTTAGCAGCAAACCCTGAGGTCTGAGCTAGCACAGCCTCTAATGCTAATGCTAACAGCCAGCCTCATCAAGCCACTCAGTCTACCTGTGACCGACTCACTAACTCCCTTACAAAATAGACCTCAGAACAGTTTCAGTGGTAGAGGACACCAGACACAGCCTTGATGGCCACAAAATTCAATTTTAGTCTCATTTGACCAGAGTACCTTCCTCTGTATGTTTGAGGATACTCCCAACATATTGCCTTATTTTTTTTCTTGAAGCTTTTCCTGCCACTCTCCCATAAAGCTCAGCTCTGTGGACTGTACGGCTCATAGAGTTATTATAGACTGATACTCTGATCTCCACAGTAGAGCTGCGCAGCTCCTTCAGAGTTATATTTGGCCTCTTGGTTGCTCCTGATTAAAGCCCTTCTTGCAACAAGCATGACTGAAAGCGAAATTATTCCTGACTCCTTGGTGGTTCCAAAAAGAGGAGCAGCTTCAGTAGTGTGGAATAAACTTTTCCTTCTCTTAGCGCTCAGAGGGAACTCATTCAGCGGCTCCTCTGGCAGCAGCACAGCGTCTCTCCCTCTCCTCTCTGATTCTGTCACAAACCTTTGGTGATGCAAACCTACGTGAATAAACTCCATATATGTGACTGTGTCATAACAGCCTGTCACAGGTTACAGCCTGATGGTTAGAGGAGAAATGGCAGAGCATAAAAACAGAGAAGGAAATCAGCTGTTGATTTATATATATAGATCCCAGGGGACATTTTGTATTTGGGAGCTGTTTAAATGTGTAATTTGTTGAACTATTAATATTGTGACAGAATCTGAATCTCACTCGGAGTTACTGTTGTTGTTCACAAACTAAAGAAATGAGAGATTGTTTTAGTTTTTACTGAATATTTGAAGCAAACTGTAAAACTACATCAATAATTAGCTGCAGTTCTATTTTCTTAAATTAATATGTACAGATTTTATACTAATTTGTCATATCAGCAAAAATATTGTTTTGGCAAAAATACCCTGAAATATCGGGCTATTATTTTAGGGCCATATCGTCCACCCGTATATTTAATAGTGGATTTAATGGTACTCTATGTGATGTTCAAAGTTTGGGATATTGTTTATAACCCATCCCTGATCTGTATTTCCCAACATCTTTGTCTCTTACCTGTTTGGAGAGCTCCTTGATCTTCATAATGTTGCTTGCTTGGTGGTGTTGACTCTGAGGCCGATCACAACAGGTGTGTGTATACTGAGATCATGTGACACCTGGCTCACCCACAGGTGGATCTTATTTAACTAATTATGTGGCTTCTGAAGGCGAAGCATAAGGCGTCATAGCAGAGGGGGTGAAAACATAAACATGCACCACGTTTTAGTTTTGTATTCCTTAGAGTTATTTAAAACTTAAAAAAACAACAACATCAATTTAACTTAATTAATTTGGAGTATTTTGTGCAGGTCCGTTACATAAAATCAAATTTAAAATCCATGTAAATTCCAGGTTGTAAGGCAACAAAATAGAAAGCATACCAAGAGGAGTGAATACTTTCACAAGGCACCATGTATATGACATATATACATGATATATATATGACCTTTAACACATGGTTAGATCACATCTTCCTCCTCAGTTAGGGTAGAAAAAACACACACACACACACACACACACACATCCAAAGTAAGAGATCAGTAACATTTCCCGTCTTTGTTTCTTGTTCAACGTATTTTATGTTTATTAATTAATGCTGACAGACAGGTACTGGTTCAGACAAACATGGTGGCGTCAACTGAAGAACAGAACCAGGCAGAGAAGGAAATCTGTTTCAGACCAGAGACGCACTCAAAGATCAGCGTACACACCGTCAGATTGTCCCGCTCACACTGTTTGGCACCGCTCCGTCCATGCTCGTTCATCTAGCACAACACATGACACCTCTCTCTAACGTTATCAGTAAAGAAGCTAAGGGTTAATATTATTAAAAAGGACTGAAACTGCTCCAAAATGCCGTGAAAGTTAAGCAAAAGCAGATGGAAAATGCAAACAAGTTTCCTGTGGAGCTTTTGTTTCCACTTTTAAACCTTTTCCAGTTTTTTTTTTTTTCCCCTCAAGTTTCTTAAACATTGCATCACAACACATTATGAGCCTGTTTACACCTGGTTTTAACATACGTCTCAGGTTATCCAATCACAAGTAGACAGCACATGTGAGGAGGTGGTCTTGAACTCATTTGACCGCATATCTTTTGTAGTGCAAACGCCAGTGTGTCCTGATCGTGGACGTATGTGGATTCAGTGTTGGAAGCGGGGTCCTGGTCATCCCTAGGAAACAAGCGGTCAGCTGGAGATGCATGATCGACACAGGTGTGAACGGCGATGTGTGTCAACTGTCCACTTGTGTTCGGGTCACTAAAACACACGTTAATACCAGGTGAAAACAACACAGTCAACACAAGCTTACATTATCAGGTATCTGTTCCTCTACTTCTGTCTGCTCTGGCTGTGAAGTGTTTAAAGACTGGTTACCATGGTTACAGGACAGAATCTGCCAGTTGTCAAGGAGACTTACAAGAAAGTACAATGGTCTGTTCACAAACTCTGTTTACATTCAGTGTTAAAAATGCACTGTGAGGTCTGACAAACGTCCTCTCACTCTCAGCTATGATTATCCTGAACCTTTAAAGCAAGGCACTAAACCCTCTGATTTCCAGCAGCCGCTCAGAGACCGCCGGGGGCAAAATGTGAAGCAGGAGGAAGTAGTTTGGTCACTATTTAAAGGTCCAGTGTGAAGGACTTTAGCGGTATTTAGCGGTGAGGTTGCAGAACTGAAAATTCTCCTGCATGCTGCCCAGTTCAGACCAAAAATTCATGACGAGATGAGTTGAAACAAGAGAATACTTGCTGTATTACGTTTCAAGAATCTCAGGGTCTTGTTCACGAGTGAAGGTAGAAAAGAGTGTGAGATGGATCGGCAGTTTGGTATGCGACCATGGTGCTGAAGAGGGAGCTGAGCCAGAAGACGAAGCTTTCGATTTACTGGTCAATCTACGTCCCAACCCTCACCTATGATCATGAGCTCTGGGTAGTGACCGATAGAATGAGGTCGCGGATATAAGCGGTGGAAATGAGTTTCCTCTGTAGGGTGTCTGGGCTCAGCCTTAGAGATAGGGTGAGGAGCTCAAACATCAAGAGGGAGCTCGTCGAAAGGGGTCAGTTGAGGTGGTTCGGGCATCTGATCAGGATCCTCCTGGGCACCTCCTGTTAGAGGTGTTCCAGGCATGTCCCACTGGTAGGAGGCCCTGGGGTAGAGCCAGAACATGCTGGTCTTGGAATGCCTCGAGGTCCTCCAGGAGGAGCTGGAAAGCCTTGCTTTGGAGAGGGACGTCTGGAATGCTTTGCTAGGCCTGCTGCTGCCCCTGCGACTCGGCTTCGGATAAGTGGTTGAAAATGGATGGATGGACCATCAGCCGGTTTGAGTCGAGCTCAGATGGCCAGTTCACACTGCTGCAACTTCTCTCTGCAACGTCCTAAAACGGTTTCATCTTGTTGCGAATGTTTGGTTTGCAGTGGGCGTGCTGAGTGTGCAGGAGAACGACAGTGGCAGACGCAGAAACCTGAAGGGCCCTATCTAGAGCCAGTGTTCAATTTGTCTTTTCATGTAGAAACAATATAGCGGACTCCGTGGATGAGGAACCGCTTCATCTGTAGATATAAACAGCTTGTTCTAAGGTAACAAAACCACATTTTTTTTCCCAGCTGACTACTTCACTATTGAAAACATAATTAAGAATATTATGTTCCGTATTTGCCGATACGTCCTCCTGAATCCGACACACTGGACCTTTAAAATATGAGCAGTAAAGACGAACCACTGGGAGAAAGACAATCTGTCTACAATCTGTAACAACAGTTAAATGCTGCGGTGCTACAATCTGTCAGTCCTCCAACATGGCAGCCTCTCGTCACTGTATTCACAGGCAAACACTCTTTAAACACTTGTTCTGTTTCTTTAATGCAGGCATGGGCAGACATGATGGGTAACAACAGTGATAGTCAGCGAGCACACATCAGAAGGCTTCATGAAGGCAAAAGCAGCATGTTAACCAAGAAAAAGTCATAACAAGGCAAAGTGATCACTTCCTGCGTCGAGACATGAAACAACCCAAAGTGACCAGGACTGGATTTGGTGATTAAACAGCAACTGTACAGCTCACATTGGTCCGACACAGAGATGAAACTGTAATAAAAATACTTATGAAATAAAAATACCCAAGTGAGTCGCTTATGGCTGATTTTCATTCCTCTAAAAAAACAAACAAAAAAAGCTTTCAGAGAGTCTTGTTCCTGTCCGACAGGACGACAATGTAAATATACTGCATGTTCTGAACAAATACTTTAAAAATGATTCAATCTTACATAAAAACCACCGTAAACCGTGAGTCTGTTGCCGAACTCAAACATACTTATG